CTGGTGTCCTGTGAGTCAGTAAAGAGCGGAGGCAGAAGCGTGGTAAACAATTTGGTGGTTATAGAAGCACCGAGAATAAGCTAATTGTGGGATGGAAACCATTTTCCTTCCAGGTGGCCAGAGAGATTCACTCAGGGAACGTAGGTGCAGCACTGAAGTGTGTGTTTTAAGAATGTGATCCTCACCCTCAGGCTTTGCCATCTAGTTGGGGAGGGGGGATAAATACACAAAACAGCAGGTGGGTTAAAAGCACTTAAAAGCAGCCAGCTAAAAGGCTTTTCTCTTTTGGAGACCAGGTGTCCCTTTTGGCTCAGGCTGGCCCTGGCTCCTGGGCTCCTCCTGTCTCAGCCTCCTGAGTAGCTGGGACTTCAGGAATGCACCACTGCTCCTTGCTTAAGTGCTTCAGTACTCAGGGGAAGATTGTAAAAAGGCATTTCTGTGTGTGTGTGAAAGAGATGGGTGTGTGCAGCCAGTGTGCTGAGAGGATTCAAAAGGAAGTGGGTATTAAAATGAATACCAATCTGACAAATGAGGAAATGATATGTTACCCATGGGCATAGATTTCATACGGGCAATTATAAAAGACCAGGTAGTCTAAGCAGTACCCATCCACAAACCCTCCTTCATTCTTGTTGGGAGCTGCAATGTACGGTTTTGAACTTTGGAGCTGGGCGGTCCAAGATTTGGGTCCTGCCTTTATTCCTCGGAGACCAGCTTTTGTTTTCTTTCCTATAACAATGAAGACAAACACCTACCTCAAAGAACCGTGGGGAGGACTAGAGACAACATGCTTGGCCTGGCTGCTGGAGTGGCTGATTTCTTCCCGCTCCACTTGTACTGGTGTAGATGCTGAGCTGGCAAAGATGTCAGACTCCTCCTGAAGCTCCTCCTGCTCAGAGCCTAAGGAGAGGGACTAAGAACTAGCTGTCACCGTGTGTGGAGGAATAGCTGAGATGTCTGTGGACCCCGGGTAGCCCAAAGGAAGGGACTTGACCACAGCTGCCCTGCAGAGGAAGACAGAGCCACGAAAGAGGTCACACGGCCTCATGTAAAATGACCAGGTTTATTGGGTAGCAAAGGGGAGGAAGAACATTCCAGGCTGAAGAAATGCCAGCTGCCAAGGCAGAGGCCTGCAAACACAATGTATGTGCAGAAGTTGCTGGCTCACCGTAAGCGGGGCAGAGGGACACGGTCCTTTGCTGTTCAGCGTGCTTGCATCTGACTTGGTACTAGTATCTGTATCTGTGGGGTACTAGTATCTCAGACCTCGTCAGTTGCCAACATTTTTGGAGGCATAAATCCTATACATATTGTCCTATATACCTCAAAGTACCTGTCTCTAACCTCAGGTCAGATACTACATGCCTGTAACCCCAGCACTTGGGAGATGGAAACTGGAGGAGCAGGAGTTCAAAGCCACCCTCGGCTACTTAGTCTTAGAGCAGTCTAGGTCACCTGAGACCCTGTGTCCTCCCCTGCTTCCCCCAAACCAAATCAAACCAAATCTCTAGGTTGCTTATAACCCATGTGATACAATATAAATAGATTTTTATTGTTGTTTTTGTTCCACTTTCTCTTTGCGTGTGTGTGTATGCTCTGAACCCTTCTGCGTTTGTGTTTTGAAAAAGGGTTTCCCTATATAATCCCATATATTATATATTACATAAGCCTTATCTCATTTCCTTATCTCGGCCCAGTCTATTGTCCTGCCTCAGCCTCTGGAATTACAGGCCTGTGCCCACACCCTACTTTAAAAAAAAACATTTAAAGTATATTTATTTTTATTTTGTATGAATGGAGTTTTGGCTGCATGTATGTCTGTGTACCACATGCGTACGGTGCCCATGGAAGCCAGAGAAGGCGTTTGATATCTTGAAACTGGAGTTACATTCGTGAGCTGCACGTGGGTGCTGGGAATTGGTCCTCTTGAAGAGCACCAAATTCTTTTTTTAAAAAGATCTTTGTTTGTTGTTTTGTTTTAGACAGGGTCTTTCTATGTAGCTCTGGCTATCATGAAACATGCTGTGTAGACTGGCCTTGAACTCATGGTGTAGGGTCTTCCTCTAGAGCCCAGGGTGACCTTGAATTTGGGATCTTCCTGCTCTTTGAGAGCTGTGAGTACCACCATCCCAGACCAGTGCTTCCACACTGCACTTTTTGAGGGACTAATGACAAGGGAAAAGTCGTATAAATATTCAAGACAGAAGCTTTTTTTTTTTTTCTGAGATGAGGTCCTGCTGTGTTTCCACGGCTGTTTTTAACCCCCTGTGTTCAAGTGGCAATCCTGCCTCAGCATCCCCAGCAGCTAGATGTGACCTGTTTGGCTGGTTTGAGACAAAGTTTCACTTGGTAACCTAGGCTGAACTCTTGGCAATCTTCCTAAACCCCGGGATTACGAGTGTGAGGAGGATGACCTTGAACTCCGGTTCCTCCTGGCTCAGTCTTCCGAGCACTAGATTGTAGGTGTGTACCATCACATGTGGGTGTACTTAGAGTTTATAAGGCCCTGGGTTCCACCCCTTACCATCACACGCTACAGTGTGGCTGCATGCATGGAAGGATGGATGGAAGAACGAGCAGATCTTGGAAACAGGATGCTACATGAAATAAGCCAGACACTGGGCAAACACTGTATCGCTCCACTCCTGTGAGGTATCTAGAACAGACAATTCAGGGACATAAAGTAGGAAAGAGGGTACCAGAGACCGGGGAAGGGGTGAGGCAGGGAGTATTGCTTTATGAGTATAGCACTGTTGGACATAATAAAAAAAAATTCGTTTCTGGAAATGATTTGTGGTAAGACATATATTAACAGCATGATGTTATACCCTCTTTAAAATAATATTAAGGGATAGCGAAAGGCTCAGCAAGTACTCAGGGTACTTGCTGCTCTTCCAGAGGTCCCAACTTTTGCTCCCAGCACAACTGCCTGTAACTTCAGCCCCAGGAGATCCTGGATTCTGGCCTCCTCTGTCACTGCACTCATATGCACCCCCCCCCACACACACACAAATACACATAATTAAAACAGTAATAACAAGGACTTGGAGAGCCAGGTGGTGCACGCCTTTAATCCTAGTACATGGGAGGCAGAGAGGAAGGAGGATCTCTGTGAGTTCGAGGCCAACTTGGTCTACATAGTGAGTTCCAGACCAGATGGGGTTAAAGAGAGATTCTGTCCCAGGACAGCCAGAGCTACACAGAAAAATCCTGTATAAAACCAAACCAAACCCCAGAGCGATGGCTCAGAGGTTGAAAGCACTTGTCGCTCTTGCAGAGGACTGTGGTTTAGTTACCCCAACCCACATGGCTGCTCACAGCCTCTGCCACTCCAGGTCTAAAGAGCCTGATGAAAAAGTTCTAGCCTCCAAAGACACTGGGCAAACACAAGATTCACATCCGTGCATTGAAGCAGAGTGCTCATAATCATAAAATTTTAAAAAATAACTATTTTTAAATGAAATAAAATGATGTTAGAATCGGGTGCAGTGGGAGACACCTGCATTCCCAGCTGAGGCAGAACACTTCAACCCTGGAACTCAGGCCACACGGCCTGGGCAGCATAGTCAGACCATGGCTCCAGGAAGAGAAGTCAAATAAAATGTAAAAAGTGAAACTGGAGCTAAGGATGGTGGCACACACTTGTAACCCTAGCACTTGGAAGGCTGGGGCAAGAGGCTCAAGAGTTCAAGGCCAGCCTCAACTTCACATCAAGTTTAATGCCAGCTTAGGCTACATGAGACCCTGTCTCAAAAAAAAAAAAGGTAAAGATCAAGTTATATTTATTCTAACACACACACACACCTGGGTATGAGGCAGCGATGGGGAGGTGGCTCCTGTGGCCTCTTGCCTATGAGGGAGGTGGGGCCCTAAGGCCCTATCTTGTTCATTATCTACCTCTCGGCTCTCTGTGGTGCACTAATTGGTTCTCTGGTAGGGAGTGCACCATGGCTTAGTAAGGAGGGCTCACAGTTCTTGGGGCTGCAGTTCTGGACCTGTGGGTTGTGTCTCCTTTGGGGGTAACATATTGTATCCTGCATATGAGATATTTACATTCATAGCAGTAGCAAAATTACAGTTATCAAGTAGCAACGAGATAATGTTATGGTTGGGGGTCGCCACAATGAGGAACTGTATTAAAGGGTTGCAGCATTAGGAAGGCTGAGAACCACTGCCTTGGAGCCTTCCCCCACCTTTCTGACAGGAACGCTAAAGTGCTCTGAATGTGCCTCTGACCAGGGCTGCTGGCAACTGCCTTGCAGTACACGGGTACATTCTTATTCTCATTTTGTAGATGAAGAAATGCAGGGTTAGGCCAGTCAAACTGAATCCAGCTGGTCTCTCTGACCAAAGCCTGCCCACAAGGGACAGGTGAATACAATGGACAGAACTGGGATTGTGCTGGACTTGAGAGTCTGAACTTTATCCCTAGATAGCAGGGCACCAACCCAGCCCCCGGCCCAGAGGAAGTGTGCAGCAACCCTTCTCCCGCTGGTCAGACCTATTCATGCTGTTTGTTGGTAGTCTTCCTCTAATGGACTGTGAAGTAGGTGGGTGGGACAAGGCCTTCATTTTGTTGTTCGCTGCTGGAGCAGGCTGGAACTTTCTAAGGATTCCGTAAGCATTTAAGAGCAGGAGGGAAGGCAGGTTCTAAGAACAGCGATGGAAGCATTTTCATCTTACTTAATGTCCAAACAACGTCTTGAAGTAGAAGGCACTCAGACTCCTTCACAATGCACCCAGATAAGGAAAGTGAAATTCAGAGAGAATGCCGTTTCTGGGGTCACAAAGCAAGGCAAGTGATAAAGCCAGCACTCAAGCATTGCCTGTCTGGGACCGGTGACTGCAGGACCTGGGCGCTATAAAGTCATTCTGGCAGAAGGATGGCGAAGAGCCCTGAGGCTGAGAAAGGACCCAGAGGGGACAGTCCTGTTAGCTAAGTATTTAGAGGACGGTTCTGTCTCTTCTAACTTTATGTTTGCCTTGCCTTCCTATTCCAGGTATCCACTGCTGAAGTTGTGGTACCAAAGGCTTCCAGCCTTGGCCAGTCGTCTGCCCCTGAGGTCATAGACTCCACTCCCATGTCTTGCCTCTGCTTGCTTTGGGACAGACTCTGCATAGCCACCAGGCTACCACCCTGGAGGTGAAAGCCATGCTCGTACCTTAGCATTCCCCATGATGCCTCAGCCTAGTTTCTCTTCCCACTTGGACACGATGTTTGCCAATTCTTCAGCCAATGCCTCTTCTACCAACAGCCCTGTGCCCCAGTGCCGTGACTATCGGGGCACGCATCGTCTGCATATGGTGGTCTACAGCCTGGTGTTGGCGACTGGTCTCCCTCTCAACGCTCTGGCTCTATGGGTCTTCCTGCGTGTGCTGCGCATAAACTCGGTGGTGAGCGTGTACATGTGTAACCTGGCAGCCAGCGACCTGCTCTTCACCCTGTCACTGCCCCTGCGCCTCTCCTACTATGCACGGCACCACTGGCCCTTCCCGGACTTCCTGTGCCAGACATCGGGCGCCATCTTCCAGATGAACATGTACGGCAGCTGTATCTTTCTGATGCTCATCAACGTGGACCGCTACGCGGCCATCGTGCACCCGCTGCGACTGCGCCACCTGCGGCGGCCCCACGTGGCGCGGCGGGTCTGCCTAGGCGTCTGGGCGCTCATCCTGCTGTGCGCAGTGCCCGCCGCCCGCGTGCACAGCCCGTCCTCCTGCAGGTACGAGAACAGCACCGTGAGCCTGTGCTTCGAGAGTTTCAGCGATCAGCTGTGGAAGGGCGGGCTGCTGCCGCTGCTGCTGCTGGCTGAGACCCTGGGTTTTCTGCTGCCCTTGGCGGCTGTCGTCTATTCGTCGGGCCGGGTCTTCTGGACGCTGGCGAGGCCCGACGCCACTCAAAGCCATCGGCGCCAGAAGACCGTGCGCCTCCTGCTGATCAACCTCATCATCTTCCTGCTGTGCTTCGTGCCCTACAACGCCACGCTGGCTGTGTACGGGCTGCTGCGGGCCAACCTGGTGGAATCCAGCCTTGAGGCCCGCGATCAGGTGCGCGGTGTGCTGATGGTAATGGTGCTGCTGGCCGGTGCCAACTGCGTGCTGGATCCGCTGGTGTACTACTTCAGTGCCGAGGGTTTCCGAAACACCCTTCGCAACCTGGGCACCGCGCTCCAGACGAGGCCTCTGGCTACCAATGGGGCTCGAGGGGTGCTCACCGAACCACCCTCAGAAACCACCCAAAACACCGGGCAGGACGCCACCAGTCAGGGGTTACTACAGCCTGGCAATCTGGAAACACACATCACCCAGAGCCCCCAGGATTCAGCCCTCTGAAAGGACACAGCGTCACAGTGTACTCTCAGGCCTCCCTTAGGGTGTACATTTCAGCGAGGTGGGCTGGGGACTTGGACTTTGAAGCAACTGCAGTCCTAATGTGCAGAAGGAGATAAGTGTGTAAGCAAGGACAGGAAAGCCAGAGTGTTGCTGGTGACAGTGTTAGCTCTGGTTTTTATTCAGAGAAAGTCTGCTCCAGTAAGTAGGAAGCCATGTGGTGCGTATGCCCATGGCTAAGAGCTGATACATGGAAGAGAAGCTGGATCTCCTGGATTTAGGTCATCAGTCTGAGAACTGAAGATTCCCTGACCTTGGTGAATCAACTACACAGAAATTCATCCATCTTCAAATACAAAACTCAGGGTTGGTGGTGGGACCTAGAACCCACTGTCTGCACATGCTGGGCCACCTCATTCCCACTGAACCCCATCCCAGCCCTACCTGCTGCCTTCTGTGCTGATGTGAGGGCCATGGGCACCATGCCACCAGTCCCCATGTGGCCTTCTGTGCTGACTTGAGGGCCATGAGTGCCACACCACCTGCACTCACATTCACTTGGCTTCCCTGTGCAGGTGGGAGGCAGAATACACAGGTTTATCTGATATGCACTGACCTCTTTTGTGACCTGAACAGTTTAGACTTGACACCCAGTATGAGGTGGTGGGGCAGAGCAGAGCTATGGGTTGAGTCCCTCTCAAATCCTGGTTCTTTGTCCCTTTCCCGGCACATTTTCTCCTTCTGCCACTCTCTGGGCCTCTTCCATTCTGTGCCTTTAGTATTCAGCCTCATTCCCCCCCCCCCCCCAATAGACTGTGCTGCTGACCTTGAACTGGGTATGTAGTAGAGGCTGGCCTTGAATTCTTTTTTTTTCTTTTGAGACAGGGGTTCTCTCTGTTGCCCTGGCTATCCTGGAACTCAATCTGTAGACCGGGTTGGCCTTGAACTCACAGAGATCTGCTTGCCTCTGTCACCAAAGTGCTGGGATTTAAGTGTGTGCCACTAAAACCAGCTTTGGCCTTAATTTTTTTTTTTGGTCTATTTTATTCGTTTGTTTGTTTTTGTTTTTGAGACAGGGTATCTTTGTGTAGCACTGGCTGTCCTGGAACTCACTCTGCAGATCAGGCTGGCCTCAAACTCACAGAGATCTGCCTGCCTCTGCATCCTTGGATTAATGACATGCATCACCACTGCCAGACTTGGCCTTAAACTCTTGATCCTCCTGCTTCAGCGCTCAGGGCTGGGATTATATGTAGGTACACCATGCTCAGCTGTAGTCAATATTTTATGGAATTTTTATTTGAGGAAGGCTCTCTCTACACAACCCCCACTCTGCTTCACCCCCTCCTCACTCGTTCTCTCCATACCCTGTCCCTCTCCCTTTCCCTTCCTCCCCCTCTTCCTTGACCCTTCATCTTCCCTCCCTCTCTTCTTTTCTCCTCTCCCTCTCTTTTCCCCTCCCCCTGCTCTGCTCTCCTCCCCTCTCCTCACTTCTCTCCTCTCATTCCTCTCTCCCTCCCTAAGTCTTAACCTTTTTTTTTTTTTTTTTTTTTTTGGTTTTTCAAGACAGGGTTTCTCTGTAGCTTTGGAGCCTGTCCTGGAACTAGCTCTGTAGACCAGGCTGGTCTCGAACTCACAGAGATCCGCCTGCCTCTGCTTCCCGAGTGCTGGGATTAAAGGCGTGCGCCACCATCGCCTGGCTAGTCTTAACATTTTTTTTTTTTTTTTTTTTTTTTTTAGTTTTTCCGAGACAGGGTTTCTCTGTAGCTTTGGAGCCTGTCCTGGCACTAGCTCTTGTAGACCAGGCTGGCCTCGAACTCACAGAGATCCACCTGCCTCTGCCTCCCAAGTGCTGGGATTAAAGGCGTGCGCCACCACCGCCCGGCAGTCTTAACATTTTTTAAATCAAGCATCAGTCCTCAAACTGTTGGGTCTCCAATCCCTTTATGCAAAAATTGAGAGACCAGAGAGCTTTTGTTTTTTCTTTTTTCTTATGTTTTTGAAACATGTTAAACGTGTTAAACAATACAGAGGGACATACTCCATTTAGCCAAGAGCAGTGATGAAATCACGTTTCATAAACCTTCTGGAAGCTTCTGTATAAACTGGGGTGAGAACCAGCATTAGAAGAACAGGGGACATGTTAGTGTTACAAACATAGTTTTGACCTCAAGGACTTCTTCAGAAAGCTCTGGATCACACTTTGACATCACTTGCTCTGAAGTATTAGAGTTCACATCTAACTTCCTCTAAAATGTTGTTTTTTTGACTCTGGGATGAGGGCATTGATTAGCTAATTGCTAATTGTGGTTCTTAAGAAGGTGGGGAGTGAGGGTTGGAGGTCGGATGTACAGCCAGACACACAAATGCAGGGCCAGGGTGGAGCATTTCTGAGGAAGGAAAAGACATAGTGTTCAGCAGGAGAGAAGACTGTACAGGGAAGTAAGGGGGACAGGAACACAGGAAGAGCTCTCAGCAAGCAGAGCCTGCCTTTACAGCAAGCAGGCGGCCAGCAAAATGGTTTTCTTCCCTCTTTACCCAAGTAGCAGTTGGTTTGCTGGGAAGGTTGCAGAGTTGGTTCTGCGACAGTTTTAGATCCTGACATTGAGAACTGTGGTCACATATGTGTCCTTTACGCACTGTGACCCTGTGTCTCCCACTACAGAGAGATTTCCCAAGAGCTTCTGTTTCAGTTACGATTTGGGCCTTTTGTGTCTTTACAAGGGTTTCGGTTGGTGATTCACAAGGGTAAGATGACCTCTGGTGGCCAAACCAGGGAACTAACCTCGCTTCCTCAATGATAGGCTAGTATTAGTCCAGGTGGATGGGAGTCCCACCAGGCCCTTACCACCAGCTGCTCTACAGAGGCCCGCTGTTAACATCTGTCCCTTGCTCCTCTGGATTCACGCCCCTTTAACCCCAGCACTGGGGCAGCAGAGATGGGCACCTCTCTGTGAGTTTCAGGCCAGCCTCATCTACATAAAAAGAGTTCCAGACAGTCAGGGCTACATAAAGACCCTGTCTGAAAGAGAGGAAGAAAGAATGAAAAAAGAAAGAAAGAAGCGGAGACAGGAAGCTCAGGAGTTTTAGGTTGTTCTCAACTCTGGGATACATAAGACTGTCTCAAAACAAAACAAACAAACAAACAAAAAACCCCACAAAGTTTCCAGCTGCGCTGTGGGGGCCTATGCCTCTGAGTCTTAGTCTGGTGTGCATGCCTATAACCCCAGCTCTGTGGATACTGAGGCTGGAGAAGCATGCATTTGAGGCCTGCAAGTCACTAGGTGTGATCTCTAGCACTATAAAGCTAAATCAAGAGCAAATACATTGACAATATGAGTACTTTCATATTCAGGTACTGAGCAGACTCTAGAGTAATTAAAACAGCATGCATCACCCCATGGACCGTGTAACTTATTCCAGTGTTTGTATGCATTCCCTCTCTTCTTCCATCTCCCAGGTAGAATGTAAGCTCCCTGGCCGGGGAGCAAGGATTTGGTTGGTTGGTTCATTGATGTATTCATTGGCATCTAGAACAGTGCCTGGTACAGAGGAAGCACTCAATAAAGACTCACTGAATGACCAGTCGGACCTTGTGACGTCCTTGGCCATCTACAGATGAGCAGTAACTCTAATGGAAGACGGGAGGTAAAGGAAAGCAGGGAAGGTACTGGCGGTTAACTGAGATGGGGGGCCTGAAAGGTGCCCAGGGAGGTTTGCCCACAGACATACTTTTTTGTTTGCTTGTTTTGTTTTTTGTTTTTTTTAAATGCCTTTTTCTTTTTTTTTTAATATTTATTTATTTATTTATTATGTATGCAATATTCTGTCTGTGTGTGTCTGCAGACCAGAAGAGGGCAGCAGACCTCATTACAGATGGTTGTGAGCCACCATGTGGTTGCCAGGAATGGAACTCATGACCTTTGGAAGAGCAGGCAATGCTCTTAACCGCTGAGCCATCTCTCCAGCCCCTGTTTTTTTTTTTTGTTTGTTTGTTTGTTTTTTGAAACCGGCTTCTCTCTGTAGCTTTGGAGCCTGTCCTGGTACTCGCTCTGTAGCCCAAGCTGGCCCCTAACTCACAGAGATCTGTTTGCCTCTGCCTTCTGAGTGCTGGGATTAAAGGTGTGCACCACCACTGCCCGCCTGGCGAGAACTGTAGGGAAATCAGGCTGGGAGACTCTAAAAAAGAGAGCGAGCTGTAGGAAGGGCTGCAGTACAGGGAAGTGTGGTCAGGTCCCTGGAAGAAGTAAACAGAAGCAGGTTGTCTCTAGCCTGGAACCTATGGTGTCAGATCCAGAACTGTTCCTACACATTTCACCACCGTGAGAACAGAGGCAAGACTAGATAAAAGAGGTACTGTAGCCGGTGGTGGTGGCACACACCTTTAATCTCAGCACTCAGGATGCAGATGCTGGGGGATCTCTGCCAGTTAGAGGCCAGCCTGGTCTACAGAGAGTTCCAGGACAAGACAGGGTAACACATAGAAACCCTGTCTTGAGAAACAAAACAAAATAAAAAGGTATTATAGGCAGAGGGAATGAACACTGGATAAGTAACAGGCTGTGGAAATTGAAGAAAGCCCAGGTCGCTGCCATTGGTGTCCCCACCCCCCACCCCAGTCCAATCAGCACACCCATGCTCTCTGGGCCTGCCCCATTTAACATCAAGGGGCATTCCAAGGAGAAAGAAGAGAAAAATTTCCCAGAAAATAAGAACAATCGTCAGGTATGTTGGTACAGGCTTGTAATCTTAGCTACTCAGGAGGTTGAGGCAGGGGGATCTTTTGTTCAAGGCCAGCCTGGGCAAGTGAGTGAGACCCTGTCTCAAAATAAACAGGGGGCTAAAGATATTTTTTTTTCCAAGCATGTGTAGTGTAAAGACTTGAGTTCAACCTCCAGTATGGAAAAAAGAATGAATTAAAGGTAGAAACAAAGTATCCCTGCTCCCTCCCCCACAAAATAAACTGTTATTCCCATGACAGAAGTGTCGACAGACATCTGAGGCTCCAAACTACTCTGGGGCCTGTGGTAGGAGAATTTAGAATTCAAGGCCAGCCTGGACAAAAAAGAAAAGATCCAAATCCGGCATTGGGGTACAGGCCTTTAATCCCAGCATTCAAGAGGCAGAAGCAGGCAATCTCTGAGTTTGAGGCCAGTCTGGTCTACAGAGTGAGTACCAGGACAGCTAGGCTACACAGAAAAACCCTGTCTTGAAAAACAAACAAGAAAAAAGGAAGGAAGGAAGGGAGGGAGGAAGGAAGGAAGGAAGGAAGGAAAGAAGGAAGGAAGGACCCTGTCTCTCAATAAATATACAAGCAAATAAATATTTTGTACACCAGGATTTCAATATAATGTTTATTTATTTATTTTTTTAGATTTTATTTATTATGTATACAGCATGCCAGAAGAGGGCACCAGATCTCATTCTAGATGGCTGTGAGCCACCATGTGGTTGCTGGGAATTGAACTCAGGACCTCTGGAAGAGCAGTCAGTGCTCTTAACCTCTGAGCCATCTCTCCAGCCCCAATATAATGTTTATATATATTGCCTCTAATTTTTCTTTTTCTTTTCTTCTCCTTTCTTTCTTTCTTTCTTTCTTCCTTATTTCTTTTTTTTGAGACAAGATTCCAGATCTCTCTGCTTAGCCCTGGCTATCCTGGTACTCACTATGTGACCAGGCTGGCCTCTAGCTCACAGAGATCTGCCTGCCTCTGTTCCTGGAGTGCTGGGATTAAAGCTAAGCACCACTGTATACCTGGCTTGCTTTTTTGAGACAGGCTCTCGCCTGTCCCTCCCAGACTGTCTTTGAGCTCTCAATATTCCTGTCTCAGTTCCTGAAGTGTTAAGATCACGTATGCGCTCCACTGTGCTTTTATTTTGTCAAGAAAGGGTTTCTCTTTACAGTTGTCCTGGAACTCACTCTGTATCAGGATGACCTTGAACTCACAAAGCTCCTCTTGCCTAGTCTCCACCACTGCCCCGCCCTGCTTTTCTAGGGTGCCTCATCTTATTTAGTTAGTATAATGGCCTCTGAGATATGAATATGATTGGCCCGTTTCACAGAGGAAATGGAGAACCTGAGGTCTGAAGGTCACACAACCAGGAAGTGGCT